AAAAATCAAACCAGACTGAAAGAAAGAAAGGTAAAACTGATACCAAAATTAACAAGAAAGCAAAAAATTGGCCAATTCCATGCCTAGGTGTAATGCTGAAGCTTTTGATAAACCATCCAATTTACTTGCATTTTATATTTTCAATATTTGTAATTTGTATAGTTCATATAATTTTGAAAGTGTTTTGATTTAGTTCAATATTAGACCTTGTGATTTTAAATTTGGTTGATGTATTCTATTGTGTAATGGCATCTTAATAATATTATGTATTTAAAGATTTGATGGACCGATATCTTCTTTTATGTAATCAAATTATCTTATTTAATTTAAAGATATGCTAACTTGAGTTTCAAAGATGGATTCTATTTCAAATTTAATTTAAAACTTAAAATTACTCATAATAATTATTTATACTAAATATAATTCAATTTTTTGAAGTAATTTCTTTGCTTTTAATTGATCTCACTTATAAAATATTTTAGTGAGAGGCTACAAGAAAGGTATTAAGAGCTTGTTTGTTTAAAATTAAAAAATAAGTAATTTTTAAAAAGTTTAGAGATTTTATAAAAAGTAGATATTATTTTATATTTAATTATCATAATAAAAAGTGATTATTAATTAATTATTTTTAAATTTTATGATGTTTTCATTGATTTATGTTTTATAAAAAGGATTCATTATTATATTATTTTAAAATTTTATGATATTTTTATATATCTCGTCTCTTAAAAATACTCTCTTATATCTCGAAAACAAACCTAACAAACATCCTACAAAAACAGATACAAAAAAAAAAAAAAAAAATTGTATTAGAAGCCATGACTCAGCAGCAACCTCATTTGCATAATCTCTTCTGTCAGCATCGCCAAAATCCAAATAAGAGGGAGTGTTAGTGTATCCACCCACCCAATTGGGCACATCTCTTTTCCACAAGCCACATCAATATAATATGCCATCTCACTACCCTTCCTATGAGTCTAGACCTCTAACTAAAAACCCCTCCCGAGATGCTAAAGAATCCTACATATCCCACAGAATCCAGCCACTACCACTCCATGATTCCACTTCTTGTACAAAACCCTTCTTCCAAAAAAATAAATTTATGCACAATCAACTTCAATTTCAATCTTATTAGCAGGGGATTGGATTTAGTAAAAGAGACTAGCTCCTCCCTCACAACATGGTGTACCAAGATTCAAATCATTGCTAATAAATGTGACTATATTTTTTGATCAACGACGCCTTAAATAGGATTGCTTTCAATAAGAGAACACCTGCGAGAAATCAAAAAAGCTTCAATCTTAGCCTCCTTGATCCTGAACCCCTGCATCGAGCATCAAACAAATGGCTTTCCAAACAGTGATAACTTCTGTGATGAAAGCAGAACTAGCTTTCACTACATCACCAAATCTCCAAATCATGCAACCCCTACTATCCCCTACTATCCCTACAAATTATTCCTACTAATGCACTGCCAGTATTTGGATTGAAGGACCCATCACAATTCAACTTCACACACTTCCCTCAGAAGGAGCAACCCATCTTTTTATCTTTTCTTGCTTCGTTTCTTTACTTCTTGCATCATTAATCTGCCAACCCCAGAACTCCTTCACAACTCTTTCATCTACAATTATGACCGTCACAGGATCTGATGTTTCTCCTTCAAAAGCCATAGCATTTCTCTCCTTTCATATTAGCCACGGCAACCAAACAGCCAGGCCAATCTGATGAAACTCGTCTATTTCCCCTCTTCCACAAGCAATTAATTTTGAACACCACTTCCCAAACCCTTCAACATTATCCTCTCAATATCTCTGTGTTAGCTCACTACCAAACCCATCACACCTGATCCATGGGCACAGAAACAAAGAACATGAAGGCAGATTTGGGAAAACAAATGTTATTTTAATTGTTGCTTTGTTTAACTCATTATCCTCCAATTGCAAGCTTTTTATTAATATAACACATACTCAAATTATTGCCACTAAAACTTACTAGCATGACAACTATATTAGGAGATTTTGTAATTCAAATTAATAAAAAAGGAAGATAGTAATGCGTACAAGCAATCAAAATGGTGCTAAAATGCATTTAACAACCAAATACCGATAAATTGTTTACCATTGAAACTTAAAGGATTTAGATGATAATTATTATATATGGGCTTATGTTAAATTAAACTCTTCTTTATTTAATATATATGTGGTTGATCAATGTTAAAGGGAAAACAAAGAATTTAACACAATTAAAGTGATCATTAAGAGTAAATTGGTAAGACTAAAAATACTATATAGATAATTAAGATATTAGTGCAACTTAATTGACACTTCACCCATCTTTCTTAATTCAATATATAACTATAAATAAGCACCGGAGGCTTAGGGTGGTGTGGGATTACTACCCTCCACTGTTGTTATTTTTTGTTAATGGATGTACATTGCAAATTCTAGGGATTTAACTTGTAGTTGAGCACATGTAACACATTGACCCTAATTTATTCCTATTTGGTTAATTATGACATTGCAAAATTGAATGGCATGATTTTGAGGATATATTAATGATGGACAATTATATTTATAACTTTTACGAGGCATTGAACGCTTGGAACTCTCCCTCTATGTCTTAGCATATTGTTTACTTTGTTGGGTATAGAGATTTTCGGATGTTGCTAATGAAATGTGGTATTATTTCTGCAAATTGGGCTGATTTAATGAATTTGTACATGTCATCATTGTATGTGATTTGGGTTTGGCCTAGTGCCCACCTTGCCTAAATTGGCTTTGGTTGTATTTAGGATACTGAATGGTGTTGTTTATTTGGTTTGTATTTTTTATTTAAATATAAGCAGTTATTTTTAATATTTTTATTTTTTACTATTTATTAATATTTTAAAATTTATTTTTTAAAAAAGTAATATAAATATGTATTCAAAAAGTTCTTAATACTTTATACATTCATCACCAACATTGTATCATATATCATCAAACATTTATAGCATTTTTTTAAAAAAATAAGATTAAGGTTCATTTTTATCTCTTAATTTTTTTTTTTAAGAAGTGCTGACCATCCTATATTGATAAGCAAAATAATTTTCTATTGAACCCTTTTTTCGAGAAGCCAAAAATCTCTTTGTTAGTCATCCATTAATTAAATTTATAATTATTTTTAAATTAAAATATAATAAACATTATTAAATATTTAATATTTAATGATTTAAATATTATTATTTATAAATATTCATCTAAAATTTATAATTTTTTAAATATTAACAGTTCAAATTAGTTTTTTATAAATTCATAGATGACTTATAATTTTTTATATGTCTATCATATTTCTAATTTTAATGAAATTTATCAAATGTTTAGGTTATTTTTTGTATTTTTTGTCAACTAATGATCTTTCTTTAAAATATTACACCACCTAAATTTAATACTCTTTGTAGTAAAAATGCTTATTTGGATGATATCTCATGTCCCATTAAAATGCTACTAAAAGAGATACTCCCTTTGTTTAAAAATATAAGACATTTTTTAAAAATTTGGATATTTAAAAATATAATATATTTTTAATCTTTTGAGGTATAATCATTTTTTTTAAAAGTACCCATATTGATAATGACTTTATATTTATTGTAGAGTGTTTAATAGAGATAAATATAAAAAGATAAGGTTAGTTTAAAAATAGATAATTATTTTGTTAGAGGTAAGATTCATTTAAAAATACTTTATATTTTTTAATGGGGAGAGTAATAAATAATATTTATAAATAAAATTATTTAAATTTTTAAATATTAAAATATTTAGTATTTTAACAATATATATTAAATTTTATAAAATATTTTGAGTTGTTAATATTTAAAAAAATTTATAAATTTTAAATGAATATTTATAAATAATACTATTTTAAATTATTAAATATAAAATTATTTAATATTTTAATAATTGTTTATTAAATTTTATTTAACAAGACTTCGTGGTGCTCAACACTCTTAGAAAAAAAATTTAAAGACAAATTAACATCAAATGATATGGTCAGAATCCTACTTCTAATTAATTACACATAGATTCCACGCATATGTCAGGTTAATAGAAGATGATAAAGTCAATGAGTGATTAATGGTAAGAGTCTATTGCTCTTTGAAAAAAAAATAATTTAGTGAAAAATTGCATCAATTTTTAGTATTGGGTGCCCGACATTCATCAAAAAAAAAGTTTAAGGCTAAAAATAAATCTTAATAAGGAAAAATAATATATTTTACTTTTATTTCTTAGTGAATATAATACATGGGTTAATAATATACTAATTTAGTATCAATTAGGTCGACTACAATCAAATAAACGAAATGTTAACCAATGACTTTTATTCACTTCTTAAAACTTGACTTGGATTTTAATTTATACAGGAATAACATATTCTAAAATAAAATACAATCAGTTGTTATTTATATATTTAATTTGCGTAAGCATAACAAATTTTAATTAAAATAGAATAAGTTATCATTTAGATTTTAATTACGCAACCGAAAACTTTTGAGTGATAAAATAAATTATTTTTTTGCTTTCATACACACACTCTATATATTTGTCTTTCAATTTACTAAAAAATCTGGTGCATTACACGAGAAATAAATTTATTCTGAAAAAATAAGAAATCAAATCATATATGAAATTTTTTGGGTACCCATTCCTTTTTTGTGAGTACATTGAATATAAATTTAAATTATAACATTTTTAACCCTGAATTCTTTGTTAAAAGGAAAGAGGAACATGTGTATGACAAACAAAATATACAAGACACATTTTAGAGTATTTATTTAATTTTATTTATAAGTCACAACGTGATTTTTTAAGTAATATTTTAAAGATATTTTTAAAATTATTTTTTATCAGAGAAAAAAATAATATAACATCATGTTTTATATTTTTTATGTAAAAACATATTTAAAATTGTACACATTTTTATTTCTTATATATATATATATATATATATTATCTGAGGTCGGTAGAAATAATTTATATAAAAAAAAAACTGAGGGAGTATTTAATGCAATGATGGTTAAACAACAGCTTCCTCCTCTCATATGTGCATGCCTACTAATTAAAATGATGATGATACAAACACATTTTCAGCACTTGCCGTGAACTAGTCTCAAAGAGAAGGCGTGGAGGGAAACAAGCATTTCCTTGAGCTTGTCCTTGGTCTCAGAATCAACCAAGTCGCCGTCGTCGTTGAACTTTCCTGGAGGCCTGTGGGCGTTGAGGTAGAACTCAGGCTTATTGATGAAGTGAAGATCAAGAAACACTCCTATTTGCCGCAGATGATACTGTGCTCTTCTCCCACCTCCTACAGCACTCAATGCAGCTGCAGTTTTCCCAGCCCATACATTTGGAGGTCTAGATCCCCAATCCAATGCGTTCTTCAATGGTGCTATAACAAACAAATTATATTTATGACTATATTCATTTAACATTTACAAAGTGATTATGTTTAATATCAATATTATGTAAATATATAGTTTATTACATGTGTGTGTGTGTGTATATATATATCATATAGCATTTGGGTAAATATTCTTTTTATAATACCATGGTCAATTTGCTCATTTGGCCTCTAGATTCATAACTTACAATTTTTTTTATGGTATCAATTATAGATTACAATTTAATTAATTTATTTTTAAAAAATAAATAAATTAGAATTTGCTTTTAGCTTTGCGTACTTCCGGTGTTCACTCATTCTGTTCTGTTTCATACTTTAGTTAATTTAAAATTTCTCTCAACAAGAAGTCTTATCCCAAAAAATAAGGTTAACTATATGAATACATATTATCAATAAAAAAAAAACTTTTCTCAACAATTTCTTTCAATATTCTCTTCAATCTTTCTCTACATATTTTCACACCATTATATATTCTCCTCTTCCGTTTGGCACTTCCATAACTTTTTTTGTACAAATCCAAGCTATCTTAATAAGTTTTACCATCTTTTTCTCTATTGAACATTTCTTTCCGTCCATAATAAATAAACTAGAAGAAAATAAATCATCTGTATTCATAAATTACAATTTAAACAGTTTTTTAGGGGAAAAAAGAAATTAAAAACTATTTGTATACCACAGTATTCACTCACTCTGTTCTTTTTCAGGCAATTTTTTTTTTTTTTTTTGTGAATATATATAATGCAGAGTAGACTCCGCAACTCAGTTGATGATAAGCAGAATGAGAAGTTAAAGGAGAGGTGGCAATTGTAAAGAACTACCGATATAGATTTTACTAAGTGCTTCATGCAATCACAACTATCGGATTTAAGATGAAATTGACAGTGATATATGGATTATATTTAATTATTTATTGGAGACAATGATAATCAAGTTCGATGCATATTTTGAAAGAATTAATTGGAACAGATGAAAGAAATAGCTTACGAGTGATGGAGTAATTGTAATCAGGAGAAGCGAAGATACAGGCATCCGCTTGGAGAATCTTGCGCCGGAAATCTTCCACCTCCGGCGGATATGTGCCGTCGACTTCGAGATCGGGATTGATCATCGGCAGCGACGAAATCTCGATGTACTCTATCTCCATTCCGTCAATCTCCTCCTTGGTCATCTCAATCGCTGCGAATTCCAAACCAGCAAAATTGAAAACAGCGAATCAAAATCGAATAGAATAATCAAGTGAAGTTACCGATACCGGCACGAATGAGGCCTCTGTTGCAGGAAGCCTTGCGAAGAGAGCCGCAAATGGCCGCCACTTTGATCACTACCGGCGGCTTTTTAATTGTTCCCACCATCGGTCTTTCTTCTGATTCCTCTTCTCTAAACAAATTTGGGAATTAAATTTCATCAAATATCTATCTCGCTCGCTCGCTCGCTCTATTCACAGGTTCATTTCACTTCCATGTTTGTTTCATCTTGCTTTGGATAAAAAGATCAAAAGATCAAGATTTGCAGGAAATAATAAACATAAGACTAAAGTATTTATTTAGTTATTTAATTTTACTAAATGTTTTATTATAATTTCTTTACTTTATAAAATATCAAATTTTTTATATTAAATTTTTTAATTTTGACAGAACATTTTTAAATGATAATATATTATTTCCTCCGTTTAAAAATATAAAGTATTTTTTTAAAAAATTAGTTGTTAAAAATGTAAAACATTTTTAATTTTTACGATATAATTATTACCTTTTTTAAATTATCTATATTGATAATGATTTTATATTTATTATAAAATATTTAATAGGGGTAAAAATAGAAAGATAGAGTTAATTTGAAAGTATGTAATTACTTTATTAGGAGATGAAATTTAATTAAAAATACTTTGCATTTTTAAATGGAGGAAGTAAGTTTATTATTTTTAAATAATAATGATTAATATAAAAAATAATCATTAAAAACTAAAGATGTTAGGATTATAAGATTAAAAAAATATTTTATAAAATTAAATAATCAAATAAAAATTTTATATAAAATTAAAAGTTTAAAAGTATACTTATTATAGTTCTAATTCTAAAGTGAATTTGAGTTTTTACCAAAATAAATATGAGTTGAAGTTCTTTTCGTTTTTTTGGTCAAAAGTTTTCAGGGTGCTCTTTCTTTTTAGGCCAAAAATTCTTTGAGTCCAAATTTCAAAGGATGAGCATTAAAGTTAATCTCTTTTTTAATTAAGAAAATTTTACGTATTTTGACTTTTAAACACACACACACACAAGATATTTTTTTTCACGGTCAAACTATAATATATGTATTATTTTTATTCATAATTAACTCTTCTTATAATCGATTTGAATTTTTTATGCATTTAAAATCCATTAATAAGCCTCAGCACAAAAGTTTTCTCCGTTTAATTATGTAAATTAAATTACATTCACTATTTATTTTTTATATCTTCAATAACTTTTACGTTTTTGTAAAGGATATATGATATATCAAATAATTTTTCATCTCCACATATTTATTTTTATTTTAAAATATAATTTAAAAAGTACCTATAAATTTTTCCTGAAATTTTACTTCAAATATTTAATAAAATATTATTTATTTATTTTTTGATAGAAATACTTATTCTAATTTATAGAAAGAATTTCAATAAAATTTAAAATTGATTAAATTAAATTATAGTGTATTGATTTCTTGGCAGAATGAAACATCAACAGAATTGTTTAGAGTATGCTGTCCCCCCAACACCCACACTCTTGATCATAGAAATATTTGCATTTTGATGAGATTGAGTTAAATTAGGTAAAATTTCCTCATCTATAAAAATTTTGCAACCAGTTAAAAATTTAATAAGAAAATATTTCTTTTGTTTTACATAAAATCGCATGGTTAATCCAATGACAAGACGAATTCACGAAACCCAATTACAAAGCGCCAAGAAACATATATCAGTGATCATCAAAAGATGGGTTAAATTGATATCAATTTGATCCATAACTGATAAGATTTTGAGATAAAATTTTGTTGTCAATATGATAAAAAAAGAAATTCTCTTTTCCAATGTAAAATTGAGTTTTTGCCTCAATAAAATTCATCAATTTATTTATATTTTTCATTCGTTTTCTAAAAAATTAATTTAAAATTTAACATTTTTCGCTAAAAGAACAAATTAGTCACAAAAATATGCCATAAAAATAATTTTTTATTCAATTTATTTTATATTTTGTGTTTCTATCTTTTCAAAAATTATAATTTAAAGTTTATTATTTTTTAAAAATATCAAATGAGTTAAATATATATAATAAAATTCATACTTCCTTCATTAAAAAATATATAATATTTTTAATTGAATCTAAATTTCAATAAAATAATTATTTATATTTAAATTAATCATATTTTTTTATATTCACCCCTGTTTAATATGATATTTTATCCTAAAATAAATATAAAATAATTTTTTTAATATAGATACTTTTAAAAAAGTACAATAATTATATTTTAAAATATTAAAAATATTTTATATTTTTAAATATCTAAACCCTCAAAAAATATTTTATATTTTTAAATAGAAGTATTTTTTTTTGTCAATATATATCTAAATTAGTTTTTGAACCAAATCATTTAACTATCCAAACAAATTTTAATTTATTTAACTCACTTTTAAAAATAAATATTTAAATATAAATTACGTTACGCTGACACTCACCTATTTTTTATTCTAACCTCTCTTTATAAACCTTAATTCATTCTAATTTTAATTAAGAATTTGTTAATTCAAGCATACTGAGTAATTGATATATATATATATATATATATATTTTATTTATTTATTTCTTTCTTTCTTTCTTTCTTTTCATAGTTGCCAAGTCACTTCACATGGATGGAGCAATTAATGTGTGAACCCAAGGCTCAGCCAGAAAGTCATGGGCTATGATGGCTTGGACCACTTTCTAGTTTCTAGATATTTTTCAGAGAGATGGATATACACCGACAAAACCACAATTTTTTAAATATTATGAGTCTAAATAATTTAAAAATCTTCAAAACTTGATCATGAGTTTTTTTTAAGGAAAATAATAAAAAAATTTATTTAAATTATGGTTAGTCTCACAAAATAACATAATTCCCGTAGAGTTTCATAAAATTTTTTTGTCAATAAAAAATTAAAAAAAATGACTAAATTGCCTTTAAATAAAATAAAAATTCCTGAAGTTGCGAATAACTATTGAATTGTTACAAATTTTAAAAAAATTGTTAATATAAGAGCAAAAGCTGTAAATGAAAAGTTGTAAATTTTTAATATCTGATGTATATCAAAACCTGTAGATGTGAAGTTATGAATGACTATTGAATTATTACTAATTTAGAAATAAAATTTGTTAATATAGAAATAAAAGTTGTAAATGAAAAGTTACAAATTTTTAACACTTGATGCATATCAAAACTTGCAGATCAGGACTTGTGAATAGCTATTAAATTTTTGTAAATTTAGAAATAAAAATTTTTAATAGATAAATAAAAATTGTGAATGACAAGTTGTGAATTTTTTTAATATGAATAAAGGGCAAAAGTATCCTTTCTTATAATTCCCTAATGATAGAAACATCTTTTGAGACTTTAAAAAAATTATACCATTTTATGATACCAATCTGTTATTTACGTTATCTAAATAAATTTTTCTATCATTTTTCTTTTTTAATGGCTTAAAATGGGAGTGACTTAAACTTTTAAATGTGTGCAAATAATCATAACAAAATTTATCTTTTGTTATGGTTAAGAAAGAGAGAGACTGTGTGCATGACATTAAGTTTTATAAATCTTATTTTTATGTTAATAATTTTTTTAATAACATTTTAGATATTGGTTTAACGTCTGAATATATTTTCTAACTTGTTATATTTCATTTTTGAAATAATAAAATAATTAAAAGGAAAAAGTCTTTAAATAATTAGCATTATATGCTTAATATATTTTTATTCAATCAAATCAAGATATATAAATTTTAATGTATTAATAATATTAACAATAAGATTTTTTTATTTAATAATATAAATAAAATAATATATATAAAAAATTAACATAACTTAATTTAATGAAAAATAAACACTTTAAGTATATAATACTAGGTGTATAAGTATTTTCCATAATTAAAATCATCTAGAAAATAATTAAAATCAAATAAATATCCAATCCAAATTTTAATGATTAAGAAATATATGTATATGTAAAAAAAAAAGAAATAATTTTTTTTAAAGTTAGTCATAGATAGACATTTGAACTTATTTTCAAACGAATTTTTTAATTGATTTTAAATATGAAAATAAATATTCAACTATTTTTTTTACCTCAAAGCTCACTAAAAATGAATAAATTCGTTGAAAAATAGTTAAAATAATAATAAATTTTAAATTATGAAAAAAGAATTTCTTTCGTCTTGTTGTATTTGAATTTTCAAGGTGAATATTCCACGGCCGAACCAGCCGGTTCTTTTGCAGTGACGATGTGTCTGCCCCCGGAGGCTCGCGACATCCAAGATGTCTTTTTTTTTTTTTTTTTGGATGAGGCAGTCAACAAGTCATGAGTTACAATTTTTTCATTGAATGGTAAAATAAAAGAAAATAAATGTAGAACGCAGGAACCTTGCCGGCACAAGTAAGTGAAAAAAGACAACAAGTGGGTGTAACGTATCTTATAAAAATTATGCTTCTTAGATATATCATTTTAAAGTTTAATTTCTAAAAATTTGTATAAAAACATAAAAAAAAAACCTCTTAAATGAATCTCAAATTTTGTAAGAGATTAATTTTACAATTGCTAGCAATAAAAATATATTGGATAACAAAAATAATAATAATAATAATAAGTGGAAAAAAGAGAAAGTCCAAAAAGAGGGAAGAGAAAGTATGTTCCCGGAGGATTAGAGGCCGCGGGCGATCATAATGGCCAATGTTCAGTGCTTCAAACAAAAATATATAGCCGGTGGCTCATCCCATTAATCCAAAACAAAAAAAAAAAATACAGATTGAGTTAAAGAAATTAAAAGAGTTCATGTCTATGCAGGGTGAACCATCCCAGATAGTTTAAACCCATAAAGGACTAAGTCATAGGTTAGTAGATTAACCCGTTTATTATTATTTTTTTTAAGAGAGAAATTGTAAAATCACTTTCAATTTTTAAACCTGCAAAAATTATAACACTAAATGGTCTAGAGTAGTTCTGAATAGTTAAGTTTATAAAAATTTTTAATTTTGAATTAAGCCATAAGATTAAATATATATTATCCGGATTGATAATAAAATAAATTTATTAATTTTTTATAATTTTTATTTTAATAATTATAAAATAAAATTTGTTACGTTGGACCGTCCAAAACCAAAACCGGACACGAGGTATTATGATATTTTCTTAACAACTAAACTAAATAACCTTCATTGAAGGGTAGAAAGTTTTCATTTAGATAACAAATAAATGAAGAATAAATTTTCATTGCCAAAATCAATATCAACATATAATATAAATAAAATTAATATAACAAGCTACACTTTTTATTCCATGCAGTATATGCAAGAAAGAAATTTAGTTATATTAATAATAATAAAAATAAAAACATCAAAATATTTGTACTGTAATAGCTATATTTTCTCATTTACTTTTTAGACTTTTACATGTTAATTATATTTTTATATTTAGTTATTTTTATTTTTTTATTTATGACAAATGAAGTGTCGCAGAAATCTACTCAAGTTAATATTATTGCAGCTCCTAATAAAGCTTCAACATTATGATTGATTAGAAGAAATTTTCAAGATTTTGATTGTAATTAAACTTTTTACTATATTCGTTTGTAATTGATATATATTTATTTTGGACTATATTAATGTATTTTTGAGTTGTATTTTTTTAATGATTTAGAAGGAGTTTTATTTTTATTTGTTAATTATTTTTTAGGAAGAAAATATAATTTTTTTTACCACAAGAAAAACAATAAAAAGAAGTGAATTTGTGAGTTTTAAAATTAATATATATACATATATAATATTTTTTTTATTAGTGACCCATTGCGAGTTGATGAATTGATAGAAATACAACCCACATAAAATGTAAGTTATGTCAACTTACCTCATCAAACCTACGGCTTGCTATAGGTTAACTCATGGGTTATTGATTGACCCATATTACTAGCTATAAATAAAAAGTATCAATTATTTAAAATTAAAACTAGTCATTACTCTAAACTCTTCTTCATGAGTTTTATATATCTATATCTATTAAAATATAATTTAATAAATTTTTATTTTATTAATTTTTTGTTAAAATATTAAATATTTAAATATTTAAAACCTAAATTAGATTTTAAAAAATGTACTTATAAATGGGAAACCAAATCAAGTTACCTTCTTTATTTCAAATTAGGAGCATTATAGTCATTTCACTAAAAAAAAAAAAAGTCAAATTTCAAGAAACTTGAGAATAATTATCACATTTAGTATTGCCTAATTATTATTTGCATAATTCAGGGATTTTTCAATCATCCTTGGATCCATATAAAATTATATGAAATCAAGTCTAGAGAAAGCTATATCTGCCTCAATTATTACTAAAAAAAGGTCAAATTATTAAAAATTTAACGTTTCTTATATATCATAAGAGAATATGCCCATAATTCAGAACCGAAACACACACACACACACACACACACCCATAATTTAGGACAAAAAATTAATAAATAAGGGAATATCAAGTAAAAATATGAGTTTTTAGTGGTAAAAATTAATTTTGCTTCCCTGTATCAAAGGAGCGACTTACTTTTTCTTCCTCTTCTTTTATTTTCCCTCTTTTCTTATCGAATTCTTTTGCCAAATGGAACAATAATCTTACAATAAAAAATCTTGAAAACATATACCCCAAAAAACTAATAATTTTGATCATTCAAAATAATTATGATTTTCAAAATTACATAACTTAATTCTTTAAAAAAAAATCTAAATCTTTAGATGTAATTTTCCCTACCCAATTTAAAAAGGATCTGAACACTGGCTGTCATGCACATGAGCTAGACCAATGTGATTATCTCTTGTATACATTATACATGTTGAATCAATCAGTATTATTGAACAGAAAGATTTCACTCAAGGCAAATGATAAACCTTACACAGAAATTGCGAGGCAATGTTAGTAATATGATTCAGAATCTGAAATCCACAACTTACATCATTCTATAAATCCTCAATATTTGTGAGGGTTCAAGCTGTTCATATGAGATCATCAGGCTTTGCCTTGAAGTCTGAGAGTAAATTCCATCAAAGAAAGAAGAACCTTCTTGAGCTTATTTTTGACTTCTTCATCAAGCAAATCGCCATCAGCATTGAACTTTGCAGGAGGCTGAAATGCATTGAGGAAGAACTCAGGCTTGTTGATGAAATGAAGATCAATGAACACTCCAACCTGACGAAGATGGTACTGCGCTTTAGCTCCTCCGGCGCTTCCTCCGGCGCTGACAATGGCGGCAGCTTTGTTGGCCCACACATTGGGTGGCCTTGATGCCCAGTCAATTGCATTCTTTAATGGAGCTGATACATTGAAAACAAGCTGAAACAACTGAGTTTTCTGAAAGAAAGAATTCATATGGAAGGGATAATTGGATAGGATCAAAGGACTCCATGAAAGATTTCATCAACTTCTGCTATGTTAGTAAAATTGTCACAATAATTCTATCTAATTTCACTCTGGTAGATGAACGTCAAGCGATGTCGAACGTAATTACATATTCAGGATTTAAATCCGACACCACTAATTCAGCTAACATAGCCTTCTGCCAGCTGAGTTATGTGTGCTTAGTGTGTTGATTTAAGTACTAGTCAGTAACATATTCTTTATTCTCGTTCTCAAAGATGACATAAAATATTGAGTTATTTGGAAACAGAGATAATTGGATATGATCATAGGACTTTATGTAAGGGTTCTCATCATCTGCTATGAATGTTATCATGCTGTAATTTTGTGGTTGAGGATGTTTATTAAATGGCGTGAATGGAAGAAATAACTGAAGTAATTCAAGTAGAAATATCAGAACTTATATTCACAGAGATAATCTACATAATGAATTATTTGAAAGAAAGCATTCATATCATCAACTTGTGCCATGTATTAAATTTGCTTTCATTCCACAATCCTAAAATTTAGATTGTGCATTCATATTTGGTGATGATCACTAGTCAATGACAGTGCTAGGATCGTAAGCTATGGGGTGCAAAATATATGGGTTAAGAGGTTTAAAATATTGAAATACATGGATCTTTCTTGTAATTTTCTCCAAACTCAAGGGGTGCATTTGCCTCCCTCGGTTTCAATGTAGCACCGCCCATGTTAGTAATAATAGAAACAATAATTATAAACCCTACCTCATCATTTACCATGAGATCTTTTTTCATATTATTATAAGTAAGAAGATAATTACTTAATTAATTTAAATAATAATAGCATAAATGCTTATTTTGGGAAATCTCACTAATAAATCTTACAAATTAAATTATTTAAAAAAAAATATTATACAAGTTTTGTGAGACTTACCATTAAATTTTTAGAAATTAAATTTACAATTTTAAATAGTTTTATAGTAACAATTTCTCAAAATTTAATAGAATTTTCTTAAAAACTGGTGTACAACATAGTATTAAATTTAATATTTGAAGATAATTATGATTGTTAACATCCAATAGTAATTTAGTATAAATTGTATTGGATATACGAGTAATCACACTTTGTTCTTCTCTTTTAAGATAAAATTAAAAATTTTACCCTATTTCTATCAAAATTATATATTTTGATGATTACAAAACCAAAAAAAAAAAAAGTCTGTTGGTTGGTGACAAAACCTCCAAAAGCATAAAAAACATAAGACTTAGACTTAAGACTAATACTCATTTGAATTAGCCTCTTAGCCTCCAAAAGCTTTACTCAATACTGTAAGTCAATCCACACACGTCCTGGATTAGATACACGTGTGTTTGAGCCTTCAATGAAGGCGAGTGTTTTAAGTTCGGTTAAAATTCGCTTGTTTTAGGTTTTAGTGCACACTTGAATTAGCCATTACTCATGGACATATTTCTGTGATCTAATTCTTGATTGAGTTAGATATTATAGACATTAGAATTGTTCCAGAGTGTCAACTTGAAGTAGAACAATTGGTATGGCTTAGAGCGCTTTAAGTCTAAAGGAGTCAATTCAAACTTGTTTCAATAGTAACTCAAGCGTGTTTCGCATTCTAGAGAGCATATTTCTAATATACACTTGAATGGGTCTATATCTATGCATGTTTGAGCTCATAATGGAAGTAAAGAGCTTCTCCCCTCTAATACATGTTTAAACCTTACAGCTTTCACACTTGAAGTAGTGAGAAGTGAACAAAGTAATTGTGAGTCAAGCCAATACACCTTTGCCAATATATACATGAATTAACATCTAACAAGCATTTAATGTTGTATGTAAAAAAATACTTTTTTTAGTATTCTTTATTTTTCTACATGTTACCAATGACTACAATTTTTACCAAGAGTGTTCTTAACATCTTTTTTGATATCAAACTATAAATAGGATTTTATTTAAGTGAGAAGATAATAATTCTTTGATCATTATGTGTCTCGCATTCAATTCTTACCAACTTGCATTCAATAATCTATGAAAAATATCTTAACTAATTTATAAATTTTCATTGTATTCATATTCACTCTTTTAAAGAGTTATTGTTTTGAAAAGCTTTTTTATACTTCTATAAAATCTTAAGAAAAGATTTTTCCAAGTGGTTGATTGTACTTACAAGGGATGAAAGTTGATTTCTAAAATCAAGACTTGTGCAATCTTGTAATTTGTATTGTGATGACAAACACTTAATTAAACTTGTATTTCTCTTCTTTTAAATCATGTCTTCATTAAAGTTTTTTGCATTTAATTATTTTAAGTTCATTTTCATTCTTAGGTTTAGAAAAAGATTTGTAAAATATTTAATAGCATCTAATCCGCGTGGATTGGTATGATCGTTAACTAGTTGAAATTTCAGCTCGATCATCATATAAGACCCGTTTTAAGGGTTGAGCTAGGTTGGGCTGTTTTGGACCAGCAGTTAGACTGAAAATTGAAATCAAATTGGGAACTGAATCTGATTTTCAAAAATTGGACTGTCAAAAAAAATCTTTTTTTTATTTTTTATCAATTTGTTTTTAGAAAATGATCAATTTTTTTAATCATTTGATATTATGTTGTATCATATCGCCTGTTAAGTCATGATAAATTTAAAATATTTAATTTTATTTTTAAATTAAGCAACAATTTCATATTTGCTTTTTATATTTAGATTATTATATACATATATAATTTTTTAATTTAATTATTATGTTACTGGTTTGGCCATTGGTCTAATCTCATTGAACTATGTAAATCATTGACTTTTTTAATTTAATATCTAATCCGATTCTAAAAATATTGATCCAAATACAACTCAGCCAATGATGAATACTTACCAACATGAGGGGGTAAAAGTTAAAACCATCAAGCATGTTGGGGGCAAAATCTAATCTACACATTTCTTTTACAAAGAATCCCCCCTCCGGGAGGGCATTGGTCACGGAACACTGCCAAAATCCCTACATCCGTATAATATGGCAGCCAAAAGAAACCCAGACAAAGACAAACTTATAATTTTTGGTCAAAAAAAAAAACAAAGACAAAATTATAATTTATATTTTTAAACGAATTCCACAAAACCTACAGTTTCTTTTGAGATCCACTTCTAATTTATGCGGGAGAATGATAAAAAAAATCTTAAAAAATTAATTAATTTAAATTTTAAGTATCAAATTTTACAAATTTACAACTTAATATTTTAATTTTATAATTCCATTATGATAAATTTACAACTTATATTCTAAATTTTAACAAAAAATAATTTTTTTATTTTTTAATCATATTAAAATTTAAAAAATAAATTATAAATTTATTACAATATAATTACAAAATTTAAAAATTGAATTATAAATTTTTAGAGTTCGATACTTGAAACTTAATTTAAATAAATTAATCCTTTTGAAATTTTTTTGTCATTCTCCCATTTATATTACTATGTATGTATTTGATTTGAGAGATTAAATTATTTGTTAAATTTAGCAAAAACATATCTTAAAAATAGTTTGAATATATTTTTAAAGGTTATTATTAAAAAATACCCAATATAATATTAACAAATAAAGAGTACATCATGCAAATTATGTTTCCCGTTCTTTAATTTTTGGAAAAAAATTACGTATATTTTAAAAAGTAAAGGCACAGGAATCTCAGCATATCGTATCGTTTTACCAATCTTTTGTTTAAAAAATAAAAAAAAACATTTACATTTTAAAAATAAAAAATAGGCAGCAAAGCAAAGTCCAATAACATAATTTATTTCAAGATATTTACTCTAATCTTATTTATAAATTATTTTTAATATATTTTATTAAAATTAAAAAAATTTAAATTTTATTAATTTTATTTTAAAATTTAACAAGTTTTTATTTTCACCCTAAATAATATTCTTCAATTTTATTATTAATATTTTTATTTAAATTATTTAATAAAGATAAAAATATAAAAAAGAATATTGGGAATTCACATTTGGTCCGTGAATAAGACCAATTTTTTTTTTTTTTCCACTCTCTGTCCTAAGACAAGAGGAGCAAATTGGCGAAATAAAATTTTCTTGTGCGATACAAATGGTTTGCGAGTACAGAAAACACTAGACTCTTCGAAAAACCCAATTAAGGCAATGTAGTTCAGAAAGACATTAAAGAAGATGGAGAAGCTAACCTGTGAGAGAGTAATTATACTCCGGAGAAGCGAAAAGAACACTATCGGCGGCGAGAATCTTCCGGCGAAAATCTTCAACCTCAGGAGGATAAGTGCCGTTACTCTCAAGATCAGTGTTGAGCATAGGTAGGGCAGAGATATCGATGTACTCAATTTCCATGCCCTTAATGTCTCTTTTGCTCAGCTCGATTGCTACAATCAATAGAAATAAAATTTCAAGAGATCGATCGAGCATTATGTTTCCATTTGAATTCTAAACATAATCGAACTCAAAATTTCATAATCGGCAATTAATATCGAGAATCGAAACAGAGAGGGAGAGATGAAAAGGGAAAACAGGGAAGAGAATGGGTGAGAGGGAGAGCAAACCAGAACGGATAAGGCCTCGGTTAAATGAACCTTTGCGCAACGAGCCGCAAAGTGCTGCAACTTTGATCGCCGGCGAAGGAACTCCGGCGACTCCAGCCATCGGTCTTGAAGTGGATAGGTAGGGTGATGTGAATGGTTCGGCTTCCGAAGTGAGAGGATCGAGCGACGAGAAGGGAGAGGGATAAATGACAGTTTATAAGACTGGAGGGTGACAAATAAATTTTTTTAAAGAAAAAACATAATTTGATCCCGCTGTAATAAATTTTTTAAATTTAATTATTATTAAAATTTTTGATAAAATAATAAAAATATTTCTTAATTTTAAAAATGAAATAAATTTTTTATAGAATCACGATTTTAATTTTAAAATTTACAATTTTAATTTAATAAATAATTAAAGTAGTTTAGGTATTAATATAATTTTTCTTTACTTTCTTAAATTAAGAAATATTTTTATCATTTCATCAAAAACTTTAATAACAATTAGATATATCCTTTGAGACTTAGAATACATCATGTATTTTATTGGATCAAATTACATTTTCTTTATTTTGAAGAAATGTATTTGTCATTATCCCTAGTTTTTATAAGATATGTAAGATAAATTTTTAGTAGATTAAAAAATGTAACAATATTGCTTTATTTCATAAAAAGTATTTTAATTCAATTTTTCAATTTTTAAAAGAGATATAAATATCTATATCTATTGTTATAAAAAAAATGTAGCTAATGAGATTGAGACATGTGAGTGAAATTTTATTATTTATACCGGCTCCTCATGTTTTCTGAAACTTAAAGAAATTAAGGGTATATTTGCATATATAAAGATTTGAATTTAAAATAAATTTTTTATTTCGATATATAAAAGTATTTGAACTTAGATATGTTAAAAATTCAAATCGGTGTTTTATTACAATTTTTTTGAATTTTTTAATTTTTTCTAGACCTTAATTATTTTCTTCATGTTTTTAATATTTTCACTTCTCTTATTTCTTGTTATCATCTCTTAATGGTAATTTTGTTATTTTTAATTTTTCATTTCTATTTTAAATCTCAACTTACCTCTCTTTTACTTTTAAAATTTTTTACACAATCTAAATAAAATTTTTTAACTATGTTCATATTAAATGTGAGATTTTATATATGAAATTTAAATTTAAATATATGAATCCCAATAATATGTAAAAGTTATAATTGGAACATCATTTCATATTTTTGTGAAACATTTTATAATTGAGATTACTTTTGTAATATACCTTGTAAAAAACACTCAAGGGAGCATACACATATAAATTCTAATTTCTTTTTATCTTTTTAGTAGGAATATTATCCATAGCATACTAGGATTTGAAATGAGTTGCATCAATTTTTTAATAATTTTATGCCAAAAATATATGCACATCGATTGATGTTGTGAGTGTGTATAGATTTTTCAACATAAAAGTTTGCCTTCTATGGAAAAAAGATGTTAAATTTTACTTTTTAATAGACTTTTTCAAAATAAAAAGTTATAAATTTTATATTATACATTTTAATGCATTTTATTATTAATGTTCAAAGGAAGATAAATCACTTTCATCGTTTCATCAATATCGCATATAAAAAAAATGTAAAATTTGGACTGTCTAATTTTATTTGAATTTTCAATCCATGTAAGTATTATATACAAGTGTAGTCATATTTATTTCATCATTGCATATAATTTTAGGTGTAGTCAAATTTATTTCATTATTGTATATAATTTTTAAAAGGGATCTTGCCTTATTTATTTATTTATTTATTTATTTAATGGCTGCGTCTCTGCTGATTTTATTTAATTTATTTTTCAAAAAGGCTGCGTCTTTTTTGATTGGTTGCTAATGTTAATAAGAGAATAAGCATAATGGTTAATTTTTTTTTTTTTCAATAAGTTTCCTTGTGCTTAGCGGGTGGAAATGTGAGTTTCTCTCCATGTCTTCACATGAGAGAGTTAGTTGTGTGTAATGGTTTTTCTAGCAGGAAGGGAGGTTTGGGGGTCGGAGCGTGCTCGTAGGGCAATGGTGGTGATCAAAGATCAATGATTGTGGTCGGAAGGTAGCCGGAGAGGGATTGGAAGGTGTGTGTTCTCTATTTTTATAGCCAGGGAGGATACAATTGTTGAACCTATAGTTTGGAATGATGTTGAGACAGAGAGAGTGCTTGTTGGAAAGGTCTTATCAGTGAAGGAGATTAGTTATGCAATGATTAAAGCTGTTGTTAAGAAAGCATGGAATCTTCCAAATGGCTTAAGTGTTGTTGATATTGCAAAGAATACTTTCTTGTTTAAATTTTTGGATGAGGAAGAATATAATAGAATTCTACAAGGTTGCTGTGGACAATTAATGGACAACTATTGAATTTACTAGAATGGAGGAAGTTTATGGTGATTGAAGTCCATGATTTTAGTAAATGTCTTGCGTGGATACAATTCCATGAGATACCCCTAGAGGCTACACATTTAAAGAATTATATTTTTATTAGGAATCAAATTGGTGAAATAATGATGGTGATAATCCATGCTACAATAATCAATTCTTACATTGTTTTTTGCGTGTCTGAGTTATGCTGGATTTACAAAAGCTATTAGTAGTGAGATTTTAGTTGCTTAAACCTAATGGAGATCATACCTGGTTCACCATAAGGCATGAGAAGATTTAGAATTTTTGTTTTTGCTATGGTTGTGTAGATCATGATTTTAGAACTTGTACTTATGCTAGACATCAGTCTATGTTGAATCCTAATGAGCCTCGATATTGTAATAACCTTGAAAAAAAAAAGATAATAATAATAAATAAATGCATAAAAATTTGTTAAAAGTGTATTTTTATTAATGTTTCCAGTAGTTGTGATGATGAGAATTGTTGGTTTAGTGGGAGGGTGCATATAGCTTTCTTCATCTGGTCTCGAGTTCGAATCTGGTGGGATTGAAGGAGTTTTATTTTTTGGCCTTTTTGCCCTATAAATTTACCCATTTGCCCTCCCTTCAAATCTGAAAATATCTCTTCCGTTATTCCTAGATCATTCCAGACGCGAAGAGAGAGAAAGGGAGGTGCTCTATTTTTCTTTGTTCCTTCGTTCTTCTTCTGATTTTTGCCTCCTCCTCTTCGATTTTCGGTCACCACCAACGAGTACTGTCACCGTTTCTTCCGTCCGCCGTTGATAAATGCTGGAGATTCGTTTGTAGCTGCTGAATGTTGACAAGAAATCATTTCGTTCTTCTCCGTTTCAAGTTTACTGTGTACGTCTTGTGAGGTACAGATTGTGGATCCATTTTTCCTTGTCTTACTGTTCATTTTTCTGGTTCTGATCTTGATTAGCAATGCTTTCCCCTCCTCTGTTCTTGTTGCCGTGAGGAGTGCGTCGGGTCTTCTTCATCATTCACTCGGTGTAGCACATTCGACCTCCTATTCTCTCCTCTTTGTTCATGTTTTTGTTATGGTAAATTTCCTCCCATTGTTGGTTCTGCTGTGCGCGTGAGTTTGTGTGTAATTTTGTTGAAGTTTCAAATTTTCCTTCTTTTGTTCTGTTATTGCCGTAACTAGGTAGGAGAAGAAGATCTAAATTAAGTAAAAATAATAATAATAATAATAATAATAATAATAATAATAATAAAATTGTATTGAAGCTTAGTGATGATACATAAGGACTAGAATTTTTGAATTAAATCAACTTTTATTTAAATTGGCTATTACAGAATATTTGGTTAGGATGAAATTGAAGGAAAATAGCTTAGATACTTCAAGCTGGATGCCTATAAAATGTTTATTAAAAATGTGTTAGAAGGAGTGTTTGATTGAGGATTTTTAAAAATCTCATTAAATCTCTTAAAAGACATAATTGGTTTAGATGCTATTATTTGAAGAATTGTACTTACTATTGTATACAAATGTTTTATTAAATGAAAGTAACATGTAGCTGGTTAAATTCTTTGGAGGTATATGATTATTAAGAAATTGTTGAGCAATTTATTGTGAAATTGAGAATAATATACATTTGGTGTTTAAACAAAAAGTTTAATATGAGATTGTATTTTAACTGAGTGTTGAGCTATGGCCTTGATGGATTTTTATATGTAGAGTTTCGATTTTAAAATTTTAAATAATTATGGCAAAATTTTGATAGTGGTAATATTGGAAGGAAATTATTGAATTTATTAAAAGTTTATTTAAATTCTTAACATGATTTTTATGGGTGTTTGGAAAAAGGAAAAAAAATGTGATTAAAGCTTAGAGGAAAATTTTGCATTTTGAGACTTTCAGGTAACTGGATAACGTCTCAATCAATTTATATATTACAAAGTTTTCTTTATCAAAATATTGTTTTCAATAATTTATTGATATTTGTATATTTTTATTACTTTAGCTATTTTTGTTAATTAAATTGTTTTGCTTCTTAAAGTCATGATTTATATTTTTTTATTTTGATTTAATTTGATGAAAATCCTTTTATAAATTTTGGTGGTCCTATATTTGATAAAGCCAATGATGAAAATTTGTGAATAGTTTATGAGATATTAATTGTGAATTTTCATATTTAAAAGTATTAATGTTTTTATATGTTTCATGCGAGTTTGATACGAAAAAGAGAAATTTTATTTTAAAAGTAATGATTTTCTCGCATGTCTGAAAGTGAATTTATAAAGGAACTGTATACAAAACGCTGGTTGCTAACGGTAATTCTGTTAGTCCTTAGCGCGCCATGGTCAATTACTAGCTAGTTTAATTTTCGTGAGCTTCGCTCTCATGTTTGTCATTCGTGGGTCTTGTACCTACGTCTGTTTCGTGGCTTTGACCACGTCTGGTTATTTACCCTCGTGGACTATATGTCCACATTTGTTTCGTGGCTATGACCACGTCTAGTTATTTACCCTCGTGGATTATGTGTCCACGTCTGTTTCATGGCTTCGGCCGCATCTGGTTATTTGCCCTCATGGACTATGTGTCCACGTTTGTTAATTGTTCTGACAAGTTCCTATAAAAAAATGAAATGAAAATGAAAAATGAACTTAATTATTTTATGATTTTATATCCTACTGATTTTCAATTAGTAATTTATTTACAATTACTCATTTCGTTTATTAGCTGTCCTTGAGATCAAGTGATAACAATATTTGATATGATAATTTAATGGCTCAAGATTTTATATAAAAGTTATATTCTTAGAATCCTTTTATTTTGAATTTATTTAAATTTTCATTAAGATCATTGTGTTTTTAATTTACATAAGTGCTTTTAACTTTCCTTTGATTTATGTTTAATTATTTATTTTGGGACGTTATTTACTAGAAATAATTTTGGTCTCAGATAGTGTAGCTGATGCTGAATCACCTGTTGAATGCTGAGGAGTTATGAATGACTAGACATGGAGGAGTTAACGATTAAACTTTCTCTTGATGTAAAGTTTTAATTATGAAATTTTATTTTGTAAACTTTTTGTTAGGTGCTCTACATAGTCTGTAGTTAGATTATTTATGTTTGTATATATATTTTGGTTTACTAGCTGGAAGGAGCTCTGCTCCTAATTGACTTGATATTTTTTGATTGAGATATGGTATTGTAGAATTTTTGAGAGATCCTATTTAATAGAGGAGGTTTTGTCGAAATTTCTACAAAAATATTTAAGTATGTTTTAATTCAAACTAAAGCATAATTATGTTTTAGTCATGGAAAGATTATTCGATTTAAGGCTTAAGGGATGTGCGGTGATTTACATCCTGTGTCGGTCACTCTTTATTTTTGGGGCATGATAGATATGGTGCTTGGGTAATAACACATCAAGTTAAAACTTATAAACAAGCAGTTGTGATGATTAAAGATGATTGGCCAGAAGTTAATTAGAAGTGGTAGAGATTAAAGAATATAGAGAAGGAGAAGCCCAATTCTTATCCTTCTAATATTGACGATGTTTTTTTTTTTTTTTGTGAAGCTAACAGTTGGTTTTAATGGTGGAACTATTAAAAGTAGTTTGGACAAGAAGATTGTTAATAATCTTGATATCAATAGTACTAGAAGGGTGGATTTTAAGGAAGGGTGGATTTTAAGGAAGGAAAGGATAATGTCTCACCTAAGCTAGATGGAAGGGTTCGATCTCTTTTTTGTGAAGTTGGTTCTAGTGGTTGTAAAAAGACTGGTAAGGAAATTGGTTTGCAATCTAATTGTCTTCACAATAAAAAAGTCAAATACTCTTGTCTTGAGAGGGTTAAAGAGCTAGAGGATGAAGTTGATAATTCAAAAGTCATTGTGGTATATATAAAGAAGGAGTTGAATACTATGGTTGAAAATTTTGATAAATTGTCATTAAAAAGAGAGCCTGAGGAAATTTTGGAAGTTGAAAGAGTCAAGAAGTTTAAAGTTGATCTTGATGAGAGTGCACAGGGTGTTGTTATCTCAAATTTTGCTGAGAACATAAGGAAAACTAAAGCAAGAATGAGAAGGAGTGCATAGAGAAGTAATAGGCTGCGGTTAACTAAAAGAAATGAAAAGGGTAACAAAAGAAGGGGAAGAAATTGTGTTGTTGCTGAAGGCACGGGTGGTTGGCCTTTAACAACCCCTAAGGCACAATAAAGCTACTCTCTTAGAATTATCAACATTTGAGGGTTGCCTTGATAGTTAAAAATCTTAAGGATGTAATAGAAAATTGGGTTAAGGTTTAATTTATCCCTAAATTATTTTCTAGTCGTAGCAATGTTACTCCTAAAGTAATAAAATGAAAGCAATGTTCCCCTCATTGTCAAACACACAAACATTGACTCTCTAAATGGTCCAAGAGTAACAAGTTTGACCAATCATTGCCATATGGCATCTAATGTGGATGAGTAGACTGAATAATGAAAGCCAAAGTTGTCATTTGGAAGACTAGGAAACATTGAAACCCGAATACCCTAACTCAAATACTATAACCCATCTGAGTTGAAAAGACTTAACGATAAGCTCAGATTGAAGGAACGAAGGAATGGCTTGTGAGAATGAAGAGAGATTGAATACTGTAACCCAAATACAATGAGTTACTTGTAAGAACAAAGAGAGATTTGCTTGTGGTTTCTGAATATTGCTAAGGAAAGAAAGAAAGAAAAGGTTGTTCGCGTTGAGATATAGGTAATGAATCTCAAATCTCTGGGCTCATCTTTTCTTTTTGTTGTTTTGTCAATGTGAAATCGCACATTTTCCTTAGAATTTTTTATTTGTTCCTGTAGAAATGGATGATGATGAAGATAATTGAGGTAGGGTACATGAGGACGTGGAAGATGACAAAGCATCTGATAGTGAATTTAAGAGTGCTATTGACAGCGACAAAGATAGTAGTAGTGATGACAGTGCTACGACCAATCTTTTTGAGGTATGTAGCGCAATGGAACATGCTAAGGATGCCTGGCTTTATCATCATTGCCGTTTGTTTGGTACAAGTTGTGTAGATGATTTAAAAACAGGGGAGATAGGTAGTAGTAGTTTTGGTCGAGATTTAGGGAAGGGGAAAGAAGTAGTCAAGGATAATTCAGTAAATGTAGATGAACTTTGGGGTAACAGAAAAGAACCATATATCTCAGGGGACCTAGAAATTGATGACAGGAGAGGAGATGTTATGCAAATAGAGGTTGGTAGAACTAAGTCATGGAATTTAAAAGATAATTTGGACTCTGTGATTGGGTCTGATAATGGAGACAATGATGGTGAGGCAAGTGAGGAAGGTAGCAGTAAAGAAGAAGGTACGAGTAAGGGTGAAGAGGAATGTAGCGATGATAGTGAAGAAGGTAGTACTTCTTTTGATGAAGGTTTTGATTACAATGACCCAAAAGATGAAGTAAGCAGTGATGAGGCTTCTAACAGTGAGGGGTATAAAGGAGATTTTGATGGGCCTGTCAATGAGCTATTAATGAGAGTAGGCCCATGTTTATGTTGGGTATGACATATAGTGATAATGTGGAAGTGAAGAGGGCTCTTAATAGATATGCTACAAGGGAGGGTGTGAATGTATAGCTCATTAGAAGTGAACCTAATAGGATAAGGGCAAAGTGTGAAAAGGGCTGCCTATTTGTCTTCTATGTATAGCTCATTTGGCTTAAAACGAGGACATTGTGCATAGACCATAGATGCTTTAAGGTTTATAAGAATCCAAGGGCATTAGCTAAGTGGATAGTTGAATGCTTCAAGGAGAAAGTGCAAGAGAGGCCGCAATATAAGGTTTCAGACATGAAAAAGGACTTGGAGCATGAGTACAAGTCAAGTGTGAGTATATTCAAGTGTAAAAGGGCAAAGAGGATGATAATAACTGAGTTGGAGGGTAGCTACAAAGATCAGTATGCCAACCTTGACGTCTTCTGTGAAGAAATTAAAACTTTAAACCTCAGATCTGATGTCAATGTGGAGCTAAGTAAGAAAGGACTGGAGAAAGGGAGAAGAGTGTTTAGCTAACTGCATATTTGTTTCAATGTACTAAAGGTAATTCATTTTTCATTTTTTTATAATCTGCTATGATTTCTAAAGGATAAATGCAACCATTAATTATTCTGAGTGCCTTTAACAATGCACTGTTACACTAGATGTTAGTGTTTGCCTTTTTTTGTTTTGTGGTTTTATTTTATTTCAATTATTTCTATGAGAATTTTTACATATTTGTTGTTTACGTCTTTTCATTCTTTGAATCCTTGAGTTTTTTAATTCCTATCTCTTTGTGGTTTAAAGGGCTGATCTATTTTATACTCATCTATTTTCATATATTTGACATTAGTGCTTTATTTTAAGATAGGATGGAAGGCTAGATGTAGACCATTCATTGGCCTAGATGGGACATTTTTGAAAGGGAATGCTAGAGGCATTTTGCTAACTGCTTGTGGGTTTGATGCTGATGATTCATTATTCCCATTTATATTTGGATTGACTGCATAAGAGAATACAATAAATTGGAGATGGTTTATATAGTGGCTTCAGAAGTCACTAGAGCTTAGAAGCGGTAAAATTGTATCATTAATGTCAGATATGCAAAAGGTGAGCATGCTAACTTGTATGTTGAATTGTTTATCATACTAAGGTTTTGATATATCGCACAATGCTACTGTAAGGTCTTATTATGGCCACTAAAGAAGTTCTTCCAAATGCTGAGCATAGGCTTTATGCTAGACACGTATATGCAAATTGAAGTAAGAGGTGAAGAGGAAATGAGTTGAGGCAAAGGTTCTTCATATGTGCATGGAGTACCTTTGACGAGCAATTTAAGGACAATCTCAAGGCAATGGGCGCTTTAAGTAAGGAAGAAGTTGAGGCATTAGTCTCATACCCCATCAAACATAGGTAAGGGCTTATTTTACTTGTAGATGTAAGAGTTGGATAGTAGATAACAATACAAGTGAAAGTTTAAGTGCATGGATAGATGAACTTAGGTTTTATCCTATAATTAGGATGATAGATGGTATAAGATTAAAGATGATGAACAAACGAGTTGACATTAATAATCTAGTTAAGAAGTAGAAAGGGGATCATAGTCCAAAGGCACTTATTTTGTTTGATGAGAATAAAGATTTGCCAATAAGGTGTCAAGTTTATTTTAATAAGGATGAGGATTATAAGGTGAGTGAGGAACAGGATAGGCACATTGTGTAATTGAATAGAAAGATATGCACTTGTCAAGCATGGGATTTGACAGGAATCCCATGCCAACATTCCATATGTGCTATGTACCATGCAAAAGTTGACCCTTTCACCCAAATTTCACACTATTTTCATAAGGACACCTATAAGGCTAGCTATACTAGTGAGGAGGAAACAATTATGGAAAATTGACAACTTTAAGCTTATAGAGTGTCCCCAAATATCTAAGTTGCCTAGTGGACCAAAGAAGAAAAGGCAAAGGACAAATGACAACAATATGAGAAGGAAAAAGAGATTGGTAGAAAATGCTTCACAAGCATTGGTCTTACAATATTCAACAATGACAAACATCCCTATTCTCGAGAAATTATTCAAGAGAGGAATTGCCATGAAATGCAGTGTTTGTCACTAAACTGGACATAATAAAACAACATGCAAGGATGTAAGCTTGTTTTAATTATTTGTACAATTTATTAATTCAACATTTCTCTATATTAATTCTGTACATTTCAGGTGGACCTTCGACTTCAAGCAAAAAACCTGGACAAAGAGGGCAGAAAAAGAGACAAACTCCTAAACTAGAGACTATCGCACCAACTGATAATGTCATCCTTACCCTAGAAAGCTAAGTGACTCCTGAACCTGCATCAAGTCTTCAGAGTAGGACAATTTATAGACCTTGAATTGATGTTGGAATGGGCATTAGAGTAAATGAAATCACGAGAAGGAGTGTGTATAATATGAGTTGTTTTATCAGTTATATTATTGTTAGATGAACCTAAACTAAAGCTTTCTAACTTATATTATATTTATGTTTATAGCCTGGACTTCCATCTGAGGTCATGCTTGAGGAGGGAACAGTTGAAGAATATATGGTGCACCATGCAGACCCAGAAACTAGATTTTTCATGCCCAATGAGAAGGAGATTAGGAAGACCACTACCCAAAACAACATTTCACAAGCTGCAATTAAGAAGATTACTTTTAGTGGGGATGGTTCGACTGTGTCAACACCATCCAA